CGCGCTGCGCGGTACCGGGCCGGCATCAGCAGGTGGCTGCTTCCCGCGGTGGGATGCTGGGACACCGTCCCGGGGCGATTGTAGAGTCTGGGTCTCCAGCGTCAACGCACACGGTGGCCGGGGGCGTAGAGCTGGGCGCGAGCCGCTGCTGAGCTACTCAGAAACGGGATCAGGGCTTCCGAGGGTCCGGGGCCGCACCTCGCCCCTTCTCTCTGCCCAGCACCTGCTCAGTTCCCTGGCCGGCCTTGATGAGACACGTGGACTTGACAGCGACTGTCCTTTTCCCAGCGGAATGCTTTTCTCTGGGGTGACTGTTCTGCAGAGAGAAGCGAACATCTGAAGCGAACTGGTGGTAGGCTTTTCTGCGGCCACTTTGGCCCGGGATCCCTAGGAGCAGAAGTTTCTTAGGCCACAGGACAGCGCCCAATCGCTGCGTGCCGGGGCGGCCGCAAAGTCTCCCAGAAGGAGCTCCGGCAGGGTCCTGAACCTGACGCTCAAGCTTAATAAGCTCAGGCACTTTTCACACAGCGCGATAGACAGGGGCGCGATCCGGGAGCAGTGGCTTCCCGCACTTTGGCCCGGGATCCCTAGGAGCAGAAGTTTCTTAGGCCACAGGACAGCGCCCAATCGCTGCGTGCCGGGGCGGCCGCAAAGTCTCCCAGAAGGAGCTCCGGCAGGGTCCTGAACCTGACGCTCAAGCTTAATAAGCTCAGGCACTTTTCACACAGCGCGATAGACAGGGGCGCGATCCGGGAGCAGTGGCTTCCCGATCGCCCTCTGGGTGGCTGCTTCCCAGGGCCGGGATGCTGAGACGCCCTCCCTGGGCGGTCGGGGTCCACTCACACCGGCGTCTACCCACACCGTGGCCATGCCGCAGAGTTGGGTGTGAGCCGCTCCAGGGCTACTCAGAAACAAGGTCCGGGACTCTCAGGTCGACGCCCTGCTACAAACCCAAATCTACTTGGGGAAATCTGTCCACTCCTCCTTAAGCTTCAGCTTCCCTCACTGTTTTATGGAGAATGGGCAAGGTGAAGGGTACTCTGGGGGTAGTCGGGAGTCCCTGCTGTGAGCCAGGGCCCTGGAATTCTAGAGTCCTTTCAATCCTTCCTACCTGCGTAGCTTCGCCTACCTCCATTTACTACTCTGCGAAATGGGATTAGTAATAATACCGCATGTAATTGTAGAGAGGATTAAATTAGGTAATGCATAAAAAGGAGTGAGTAGGATATCTGGGAGTAGAGTGAGGGAATCAATAAATGATAGTTGCTATTATCACAACGGTTTACTATTATTATTATTATTTGAGAAGCAGCATTCCCAATAGTTACAAGTATAGACTCTTGCATTCACACTCCAACTCAGTCACTTTCTAGCGTGAACTTGGACAGATTATTTCACCCCTCGGCATCTTAGTTTCATCTGTAGAATGGGGGAAATTGTGACGCCTACCTTGGAAGATAGCTGTGAGATTTCAATGAGCTAATACCTGTAAAGCATTCCCAGAACAAGTACTATATGTCAGCTCCTAATTCTTTTGCAAAGTCATTGATTTGAAGTGAGCAGCCCAATCTGGCTACCTTTAGGCCAAAGGGACGCCCTGGGAGCTGTCTTTAGCTTTTGTTAGGGACAAAAGCTCCCAGAATCCGCTTCTGCTGAGGTGAAAGCCTCCTTTGGACTGCAGTTTTATTTGATGGGAAAATGAATCTGGACTTACATTTTAAAAATGAATACACTCTTGCTAACGTTTTTGGTTTGGGATTGTAGTAAGGGAGAGAGTGGGGGGTGGGAAACATTGAAAATGATAAAAAAAAAAATTAATGACAGTTCTCTTGCCGAGAGGCTAATAGTATTTTCAAAGTGTATTTATTCCATAGCAGAGACAGGCATGCAGCACTCTTGATAGAGTCTCGGAGCTGAGAGCCACCCAGCCACAGCCTCAGCCAGCCCGATTACAGGCGCAGAGAGGTCTCCGGTCACAAGCTGGTGGCCTTCCCGTGGGGGACAGCCTCACAGAGCAGAGCACCATGTTTTACTGCGGCGCCTCTGCCCAGCCCCCAGGGAGCATTATGTCGAGTGTCAGAGATGGTTTCCTTCATCCCAGCAAAACCGCGAAAGTCTGCAGAGGGTCTGGAGTGGTTTGGCTCCCTCCAGCTATGTCACTGCTGCTGGCCAGCAAACTCTCACCTTTGTGTCTTACATAAATGCCTCCCAACTTTGCCCCAGCTGCCAACTGGGGGCCACATTCCAGAGTGAAAAAAGTAACTCTGTGGGTCCAGAATCCCAAAGAACTTGGTGGGGCACACCTAAGCCCCTGTCCCAGACACAGGCCCTCTGGGGCCATGAGAGCGCCCTGTATAACCTGCTCCAATTTAGAGTATGTCCTGTTTTGTCTTGTGGCCCTGTAAGGTAGAGGGGACAAACCATATACACTCTCCCTCCCCCAGTGCTAGTGCTCATGGGTTTTGGGAAGTGTTCACACTGACCAGCTCAGGCTCCCGTTTCTTTCCTTAGCCTTGAATCTCTGGTACTGCTAATGAACTGCCTGCTTTGGTGGTGAGGTGGCAGCAGCTGGCACAATATCATGCCCCTCAAAACCCGTATCAAGGTCGCTAAGGCAGCCAGGTTCCAATCCAGCTCCTCCACTCACCAGCTGTGAGAGCTTGCATCAGTTTCTCCACCTCCCTGAGCTCATTTTCCTCCTCTCTACCATGGAAATAATTATAATATGCCTATCTTATAGAGCTGTTGAAACTTGGCATGATATATGTACATGATACGTATATTTATACAGACTATTATATAGATTTAGGAAACCACTGAGACCATACATTGAGTTGTCGGGAAAGTTGCGATGCATTCTTGCATAGAAAAATATATCATGACTTTCCCGACGACCTAATATATTATAAACACGAGCTGAGTCTATATATTTACATATTTATCAGTTCATTTCTAAAAAGAGCAGTATTTGACATTGTAAAGTTTTGTAACAGAAAGGTTATAGAAACATTTACATTTACAGGTACATTTACGAATGTGATCACTTTCTTTCCAATACTCCCCTTCAGATCTGTGATTAAATCAAGGTGCAATCTAGCAAATTAATGGTATCTTTTTTTTTAAAGAATTATTTATTTATTTCCATTTGTTATTATTATTATTATCTCATTTGATCAGACAGAGGCAGAGAGAGAAAGGGAAAGCACGAAAGCAAGCCACCAGGTCCAGGACCTGAACCATGGTCAGCCATGTGGGAATCCAGAGCCTTTAACCACCACACCATCTGCCGGCAAATTAATGGTATCTTAGAATCCAGGAAATATGGCACAGGGACTGGCAAATATTTTTTAAGAAGTATTTTATTTATGTTTACTTATTTATTTTAATTTGACCAGAGAGGGACAGAGTGAAAGAGAGAGCAAAAGAGAGAGACAGTGAGAAAGCAAGCCGCCAGGTCTGGGACTTGAACTGCGGTCAGCCCTGTGGGAGTCTAGCATGCCCAGCCACCATATCACCTGCCGGCCCCCAGGACCAGCAAAAATTAAGTGGCCAATAGATGTGGACTGCTGTTATATCAGGTGCTCCAGAGACACTAAGCTTGACTGGAAAGAAAAGAAATGAAACAGAAATTCTTCCACTTGCGGTAAAGCAATAAAGAGCTGAAGGAACTATGTCCAGGAACATGATCTAAGGCAGTTGCTGGGAAGTTCTCTGGGCAGATTTCATCTGTCGATAGCAACTTGGTGAGTCCTTGCTCCGTGCCAAGCACCGCGCTAGGCACCAGGGGGCATAATGAGGTAGGAATGCTGAGCTCCAGGAGGGCAGGCTAATGGAGAAGCTATGAAGCCATGGGTTGCAATACCCCTGCCTGGTCAGACAGGTGCTGATTGGCTTGTTCTGAGGAACCTGGGGGAAAGGTGCTTCAGCCTGTCCTGCCAGTGATTCCCAGTTTAAGCCCCACCCCGTCCCCACAGGGCTAGGCCTAGGGGTTGTAAGAGGAGGAGGCAGCCTCTTTGGCAGCTGTGGTGGCCAAAAACAAATATCCTGGACAAGGGGCCAAGGCTTCAGAAAGCAGACGGTTCAGCCTGCAGTGGAGAAGAGGAAGGAGGCCTGTAAGGACATGTGGGCTGGTGTTTCCCAGCCCCCAGCCCTCCTGGTGTGTGAACTCTCCTGCTTTCCTTCTCTGCTCCTCCAGCTCTCCAAGTCCCATCCTGGCCATGGCTCCTGGAGAGAAGATTAAAGCCAAAATCAAGAAGACTCTGCCTGTGACAGGCCCTCAAGCGCCCACCATTAAGGAGCTGATGCAGTGGTACTGTCTCAACACCAACACCCACGGCTGCCGCCGCATCGTGGTCTCCCGCGGCCGCCTCCGGCGCCTCCTCTGGATTGGGTTCACACTGACCGCCGTGGCCCTGATCTTCTGGCAGTGTGCTCTCCTCGTCTTCTCCTTCTATACCGTTTCTGTCTCCATCAAAGTCCACTTCCAGAAGCTGGATTTTCCTGCTGTCACCATCTGCAATATCAACCCTTACAAGTAAGAGGCAGGGTTATGGAATGGGAGTCATGCCCCCTCCAGATGCCAAAACCCCTTCTGAAGGTGACAGTCGGGCAACCTGGGAGCCAAATCCAGCCTGCAGAACACTTTTTAGAAATTTAGAATGAGGGGACTAGCAGTTGGCTTAATGGCTATGTCGCTGGACTCCCATGTAGTTGACAGCGGATCGAGTCCCGGACCCAGAGGTTTAAACTCACGCCGGGCACATGTGCGTGCGTGCCCAAGATCCCGGGAGGAGAATGGAGGAGAAGGGATTGCGGCATGACCATCCCCCCTGGGGGTGATTTCTCGCTTTCTGTCTCTCTGTTTCTCTCTGTCTTTCTGGCAAGCGCATGCGCCCTATAGCAAAAATCTCTCCAAAAAAAAAAAAGAAAGAAAAGAAAAAAGAAATTTAAAATTAGTTGTCAACATTAGTAAACTGCCTTCTCCCAGGTTCCAAATCTGTGTCATGTTTTTAGCATGTCAGCTACTTTGAGGACAGGCCGGCTCAGGGAGAGCAGCAAGGGGAGGCTGCAAGGATGTGTCAGTCAGAGGTTGGGCCTGGAAGAGCTGACACCCTCTGCCCCTGGCCCTCCACCACACATACACTAAACCCAGCTTAGCCATTCCAGCTCTCCAAGCTCACACCCTCACTCTCCCCAGAAGGTAAACTCCAGGCTGACTCAGAAGTGACACCTAGGTGACTTCCGGAAGCATCTCAACAGCCCCAAACCCTCATCTGGGTGAACCCAGCCCCACTAATTGTCATCACTGGGCTCCTGGCAGGATCAGCCCTCGGTACTGCCCTGCTGTCTGCTGCAGGACCTGTTCTAAATGGGTCATCTGAGGCCTTTGCGGGATTATGAGAAACTGTTCTGTGAGGCAGTCAGGATATGGCAGACATTGTCAGAGCAGCTGTGGGAATGGAGAAAAGGGAAGAGCAGGTAAAGGAAGATTATCAAGATTATCAAAGGAAACTCACCTGTTCAGAATCGTCAATGAGTTGGTCACAAAGTGACAAATCAAAATCAGGTCTAACACATTTTCCACCTCCCAGTCTTCCTTTTCTTTATTCTATCCTTCCTTCCCTCTCCTCTCCCCTCTCTCCCTCTCTTCTTCCTTCCTTTCCATCCATAATTTGTTCCATAATCATTTATTCAGCATCTACCAATTGTCATATAGTGTGCTGGGTCTAGGACATCAACCGTAATCATTCAGACACAGCCTTTGACACCATGGAGCTCACCAAGTAGTGGAGCGGTGAAATATGAACAAGTACAGCTACGTGACTATAATATAGCGACTGTTTATACTAAGGGGCTCCCCCAAATTTGTGGGAAAGTGGAACTAAAGTATGAGTAACTTGGGTGCAAAAATATTTTGAAATCTATGCATAGATTTTTTTACAATATGCATTTTCCATGAATCTTCTGAAGAGTACACACTCACACACACACACACACACACACACACACTGAACCTTCCAGTAACACCATTTTATAAATGAGGAAACTGGGAAACTGGGATGCAGAAAGGCTAAGAGTCTTGCCAAAGGTCACCCAGCTAGTACTGGGATGGAGAACTCGAAGCCAGGTCATTTGGTTCTGGGGTCTATACCCTCAAACACTAAAGCCAAAGAGAGAGAGGAGAGGGGGAGAGTTAAGAGCAAGGCAGGAACCCTTTCTTTTCTTTCCTTTTAAAATATGTTTTAAAGTTTATTTAATTCTTCCATGAGTGAAAGAGAGAAAGAGAGAGACAGAGAGATAGCACCCTTGATAGGATCTTGAGGCTGAGAGCCATTCCTGACTTCGGCCGACCCCAGATCATGGACACAAGCACCTGAATACGCAGGGGGTTCTTCAGACCCAAATCCGCAACCTTCCTGTGTGGATCTGCGAAGTAGAGCTTTGCGTTTTACCACTGGGCCACCGCCCAGCCCCGAGGCTGGGACCATTTGATACTGTGAAAATTGAAAGAGGGTGTCATTACACTTCACACCGTCAGTCCTGCCGTCAGTCCTGTATCGTTCTTCTGTGTTCTTGGAGGTTGTCAAGGTAACAGTTATGCCGTCTTTCCTTTCTGCACTGATTCAGGACCATCAGTGGGCAGGGGCCATGTGCTGGTGGAGACGGGCCTGCCCCCTGGGCAGACTCCTGGTCAGTAGTTACTGACCTGTTCTCACTGTGGCTGGTTTGTGGGAGGCATCTGACAGTCACCACTCCAGAAATACTGGTTGGAGCAAAACCAGCAGCACACCTGAGAACAAGCAGACAGCCATCAAAGAGGTGGGCCACAGGAAGTCACGCAGGGTCTTCCATGAGCTTTTCTCCATTTGCCCAGCCAGTGGTCACTTCAGATGGGGCAAGATGTGAAAGGGCTGGTCTCCTTGGCCACAAGGGCAGGAACAGTGGGCACATGTTGAAACACAGCAATGGAAAGCAGCAAGGAAAAGTGCCAGTGTGCCGCCTGAGGGACGCCCGGTTCCTGACTCTTCCTTCACCTTGACAGGTACAGTGAGGTGCGCCACCTTCTAGCCGACTTGGAACAGGAAGCCAGAGGGGCCTTGAAGACCCTGTACGGCTTTTCAGAGATTAAGTCCCGGAAACGCCGAGGGGCAGAGTCCTGGAGTTCAGCCTGGGAGGGCACGCAGCCCAAATTCCTCAACATAATTCCGCTGCTGGCCTTCGATCAGACAGAGCGGGCCACGGCCACGGACTTCTTTACAGGGCGGAAGCGGAAGGTCAGCGGAAGCATCATCCACAAGGCCTCAAAGGTCATGCACATCCAGGAGTCCAAGAAGGTGGTGGGATTCCAACTGGTAAGATTCACTTCCTCACAGTGTTAGGGCGTGGGCTGGAACAGAGTCAGTGAGTCCTGGGACCTTTCTTTTTGGCCGTTAGTCTATGCATTCCTG